CCCTTTACAACGTCCGTGAAGCGAGAAAAATCAACTATCAAAATAAATTTTTCTCAGCCCAAATACGACCCCCCCTCTCCTGGCGGCCAAATACGACCCCCCCCTGCTTGGGGATTCTCCAACAACGATGTGCCCTGAGCAAAACTTCGGTTCCCGTGCATTGTCTAATCAGTCAAGCATCACAATTTTCTCATTACAGTATGGATGCCGCTGTTATTGATCGAGTAGTCAAAATACCAGATGTAGCAGCTACTGCCGCTATGCGGATACTTCGCGAACAGGTAAGAGATTTATAAATGTTCACTGTTTCCAGGCTCATAATTTACTGCTAGTGGATTTCACTTACGGCCAATATTCTGTTACTTTTATTCGATATAACTGTCCAGGTGTGATTACGTTTAATGTTTTTAGGGTGCATCCGGTGGTACCAGCAGTGGAGTGAACCTACTCACGTCGATGCATATAGCGGCGACAGCGGTGTAAGTGAGCGACAACAATCTTTAGACCAAAATATGGCCAGAATAGGGTAGTAGTGCTAGGGGGAACCTAGGGCACGCCCGCTTTTTGCCCGTCCGTGCTCTCTTAAGGAGGAAAGTTCGGCCAGATGAATTGGGGTCAATGACGGCATCAACAAGCAAAAAATGGGTGTGGTCCATTGTTGTCCGCTGCCTCTGGCTCACATACCTTAGCTCCAGGGACATTATCAGTGTTAATGTCTTCATAGACTACTCTGGTACCAGTCCGTGAGTCCAGGAGTGAACGAAGGTTCGATTGGCACGAACGAAAGAAGTCCTGAATCTCACCTCCGGACAAGGCGCGGTAAACGACACTATCTGCCCAGCGGGATCCTGCTTGATCGCTAGAGGGGAAGAAGGGGGGGGGGAGTGTTTGATAGGGAAAGACTCCTCTGATAAGATCAAAATCATGTAAACAAAGATGTACTCAGTAACGAGCAAGCTGAACCAATACGAGAACTGCTTTACAGGAAGCCACAAAAGTCTCGACTAACTATCACGACCTTGTTGGCGGATCCTGGCCATTACTACGATTCAACATACTATAACAGAGAATGGATTGCACGGAAGTTTGCACGACATGGAGGATTAGAGGTGCAATTTGGCCTTGCTAGAGATTCGAACAATTCGATAACAAATCTTTTATCAACAATCTCAACAATTCAACATTCAGGCTTACGACTGTTGGTACACTGTGATCGCCGAGAGTCTTTCATCGGGTGATGATCCATTATTGCTTGGATATGATCGATGTCCTAATGGATTATTGCCTTAGTGACTCAATCAGGGGTTCAATCGATACAATTCTAGTCATTAATAAGGTTTATAAATGTTCAAAATTGTTGTAAATTTTATAGTTGCTACTTAGCGTTGAGAATGAGCTTATCGTAGAATAACAAAATTGTAAGGACTGACGATTTTCAAGGGTATATTTCGCGATAATTCGATGGATGGAGACTCACTATCAAGAGCAGGGACGCATCAACAAGTAAGTCACAAATGGTTTTGAGTCTCCGCCCAAAAAGTTATCGCGGAATGTGTCTTTCAACAATAACGGCTCTCATGCAATCGCAATCAATAAGTCAACAATGAACAATCAAATCAAACAGTACCTAGAAGGAACGTTCTAGAGCAGCAATAACTAGGTAACAAATATTCATATTTTTCTTAACATGGCAGTCCTAGCGCTACTGCAGTTGGGAGATGACAGCGACAAAATCCGCTCCTTGACCCCACGCGGAGTCTGTGCCAAGATCTGAGGCGCTGTTCGGCTCGGAAGGGGTATTCCGCACTTTCGTTCGTTTCTTTGGCTAATTCGAATCCCACATCACACCTTGGTGAGACCTTTAAACTTGTTATAAACGACGTTCCTACAACTGATCGGAGGGAAACAGAATGCCCACACAAGCCGAACTGCGTCGAGCGAGTCTGCAGAAGGAAACAGTATTTTCTTCGAGCTAACGCAAGATCCTTCAACTACAGTAGCGCCGCAGTCACCCTCTGGTACAATAAAAAGTTATTTTACTGAATAATAAAAAGTTATCTTACTGCTGTAAGAATCCAGGTAGAAAGGAATAGCTGAGGTTAAAACGAGGTTAAGACCTCCACGAAAGTTACTTTAGTATGCTCATTCATCTGATTCTTGCCTGCTTTTCTTACTCTTCTTCTTTTTCTTTCTTCTTACCTCAACATCTAAATCTTCAGCGACGATCCATGTCTGAAAGTGAATCTTTAGGGCCCTACATTTTGGTACAATAACTCCATAACCAGTGTGACTGTTCAGGGCTACATTCCGCGATAAATATGTGGGCGGAGACACATGAGGTATGTGCCTTCCTCGGTTGCGCATTCCTCTCTTCGCGGTACAAGATGGAGGGACACACCACTGAGAAGGCCCAGTGGCTTAGGTCCCCGCCCATCAAGTTATCGTGGAATGAGTCTTCAAGTAAACTGCGTGGACAACAGACCAGATACATTTCTTGAAATGTCACACATCATCGACCTACCTTCACATTCCACGTTTCGCTTCTCTTTATTCCTCTTCCCTTTCTTCACCCGTACTTCGATTGTATCAGCGTCCTCATTGTCTTGTTCATTCTACTTTTGATTTCTTGACAGCACTCTTAAATAGTGAACTAGATAGAAACAAAAAAATGGGGGGAAAATATGGCGCAGTTCGGATAAGAGGGAGCACCTAATGGTAATTATCGGAGCCACTTCAGGCCACTTGTGAAGCCATGCATATTCCTGTAACAAAAGTGGCGCATTTATGCCATTTCGAAGATTGTTAAGGGTTCAGAGATTTCTCAGGGTGTTAACAAACATGGAGCAGCAAGAAAGAAGTAGCTCAAGTGCGAAATGTCCCCTTCAAGCCGAACACCGCTGAAAAACACTAAAAAGAAGAAAAATGCCGAACCTCAGTTGCTTGCTGCGCTCTTTCCTGCCGCCTTTTTAGCTTCCGTTCTCTTTTCCTTTGTCTCCGCATTTCCTCATCATCTTCTACATTCTGTTCTTCTTCTTCGACAACCTCTACCTTCATTTCGTATGTTTCCGATGGTGTTTCATAGCGCAGCGCCTCTTCAAGCCTTCTCGTTTCTTTCCTCCTCTTTTTCCTCCCCTTTGACGTCATCTCCTCGGTTTCTTCCTCTTCCTTGACCATTACCTCTGTCTTCATCTCAGAATCTGCCTGAAATGTTGCTGTGTTTGTTTGGTGCCATTGTCAGGGCATCCCCTGCCGTTAGGGGGGAATTTTCACAGAATGCTGCCTTTTCCCTTCCCCGAAATTCCCATGCTAGCATGACTCTTCCCTACTATCTACCATCTTGCTGGCTTCTACCAACTTCCTACTTTTTTCCCAAAAACATTCCTGGGTATTACCAACAGTGAAAGAAAAAACGCTCGAAGAACTCAGCTTACCGGAAAAAATAAACTAGTAAAAATATGACCCCTACCGCCACCCCCCTATTGCAGAGTCTCCTAACCTTGTGGTTGATGTGCGCGAAACAGCAAAATAACCATCAAAACCTCTCAGGCCGAAAAAGGTCCTCCTCTTTCTCTCCAGCGACCAAATACAATCTCCGCTGAAGATTCTCCAGCCTGTTAAGCGCCCTGACTGGAAAACACTGCATTTCTGGGCGATAGCGGGAAAAAAGAACTGCAATAAAGAAAGCACTTGCTGTGAATCTTACCTGAGCTTCACTTGACAGGCTCCTCCTTCTTAGCTTTCAGAGCCGCCATCTTAGCAGCGAAATATTCGGCGACCGATAGAGTGCTCACAGTCGTTGGTTTCGAACTGAGTTCCGCACATCTCTCTTGCTTTTCCTCAACGGACTGTTCCTCTGCTTTTTCCTTTTCAGGGCTATCGGCTTTTGGTTTTACTCAGACCAATCCCCAATACAGCGGCACGATCATTTTCCGTGTAGTTCGCCATATCTTTGGCACGGGTAAAAATTGTGTTAGTCGCAGATTTCTACCATGTTATCCAGTGATTTAGAATGCACTGATGTCTAAACTGGAGAGTCAGGAAAGAAAACTTGGGAATTAAGGTAGCAGTGAGAGGGCAAAAGGGAGGCAGAACAGTGGGTAAAGCTAATCCACGCCCACTCACTGCCTGTTGCCTCCTCACGTCGCCCAAAGATGCAGGACTATATTCTACTTCTACTCAGTATTCTACTACAGCTTCACTAAGAAAACTTACTGAATCCTCCTTCGCAAGCTCTTGCTATTCAACTCCAATGAGATTTTCTTTGCTCGCTCCTCTTTTTCTTCTTCCGTCTCTGCCTTCTGAAACAACAAAGAAGATTTTATGGCTAACTGGTGATTCAAACAAGAGCTTTTTCTGTAGAGAAATTGACCAACCTTCTTCCTTATTTTTGTTCAAAGCGCTAAGCAGGTCAGCAAAATCATCATGATGTCCGATCCAAGTGCTATCGTACGACGCTAGCTTGTCAGCACCAAGACCTTCAATATGGGAAACTCAAAAAAATGACAAAAAGTGAAGCATAGCATACTACACCGAACTATTACTACTGTTCGATAGTCTTCTAACCCGAAAACCTTCATAGAAAAACACAGCATGTTGTGCTCAACGTCTAGTATCTCTTGAACTACATCTCACAAATAACTCGAGATTCTAGGATAAGAAGCTGGCTTGTCCAATAAGTCTTAGGGGTTCACACGGTGCAGGAGATTCGAGCTGCGCTGAAGTAGATCACGAGCACGGGGGGTAATGATTCATCCGTGATTCGTGTGCCGCATACGCGACGCACTCCGCACCGCCGCAACTCGGAGCTCCTGACCGACACCCGAGACAGCTATCTGCTGCTCTTACCTGCACAGTCAACCTATTCACAGTCTCACAACTTGAGTATTCTGGTTTTAAAAACAGCTTAGCGAAACTGCGCAGTTGAGCCCCCTACCACTA